GAATGCTATTCAGACACACTTGATAGGCTTCATCTCTCTCTAGATCATGCAGGTCCATCCCGACACGCCTGGGTGAGGGAGTTCTGTCCAGTTCTGGTTAGAATGAGTCCCACGATAACAAGCAAGCAGATACTACAATGAAAGCATATGATCATGCTGACGTAAGGGAAGAACCTTTGTCTCCTCATGTAAATGTTTCACAGGGGTCATGAGGAGGCACCCTGTTGCAGTTCTCAGGCCGGCATTGTGAATACTTTTCCACTGCATTGCACTTGTATTCGCAGACCACTATGGAGCCGCATAGCTAATCACAGACCGACCCATCGCAACAACAAGGTCAGCAAGGTTTTCTTATCTGCACCCCAAGCGCTGCTGGTTAGCGCCTTGATGACCTTGTTCCTACTTTTCAGTTTATCGCAGATAGCTGTGGCTTTCGCGGAAGTCTTGAACATGCTTTCGAATGTGACCCCAAGGATTTTGGGGTAGTAAGTGGTCGTAATAATGTGCCCCTGGAAATGCTCAATTAGCTGTGTTCTCATCTCCGCAGTCTATGTAGTAAAGAGTGTGGCCGTTGATTTCGTGGCGGATATTTTCATATTCTTCGCGTAGAAGTAAGCGGCAAGCTCCGCGAGATAGAGGTTCAGCCTTCACATATTTCATCGACCGCTGGGCCCGACGCTATGATCGTACAATCATCCGCATACGTTACGATCGCTATTCCGTCTGGAGGGCGCGAAATTCCGGAAAGGTATAGGTTAAACAGTTCCGGAGATATCACCCCACCTTGAAGAACTCCCTGTTTCATTTTACGGGGCTTGGACTTCTTGTTCAAGAATTCCAAGTATGATTGGCGTCCACACATATAATTGACTGTCCAACGTTTCAAACTTGGCCGGAGGGTCGTATTCTCAACGTCCTCAAACAGTGTGGCATGCTTGACCGTATCAAAGGCAAAGCCACCACTACTGTTCTATGACACGGCCTGTTCTGGTTGAGTCCTCGACTTATATGTGTGAATATGGCGTGCAATGCTGTTGTGATGCTATGTAGTGGACGGAAACCGTGTAATGATTAGCAACCGTATAGCTCTCTCTGATACTGGGGAGGAGTAAAGCCTCGAGAGCGACAAAAGCGAAATTGAGATGTATGATTCGCCTTTGCTTGCCTGGCATCAGTAACGGGACCACCCTGCCCATTTTCCAGGCTTCGGGAACTATGTGGGTGGCTAACGACAAGTTAGGAACTTTGGTTAGATACTCAACTCCCGGTGTATCCAGTTGCTTCAACATTTCCATTGATATTCCGTCCGGGCCCAACGCTTTAGATGACTTAGCGTTTCAGATGACATTCGCAACATCACCCATCGTAAACTGTGGAGGTACATCTTCGACGGCAAGAGCTCTTATACGATGTAGTACCATTCGCCTCGCCCCATCACTCTCGAGGTGCTCGACATATTGTCGGTTAAAATGGGCAGCGCACCTCTTCGGATCAGTCACAGTTATGTCGTTAAATGTCTTTTGTCATCCTTTTTCCCAGGGTTCGAGGGTGGTATTCGTAGGGTTGGTACGCCGGAGCTCATCACGCTCATTCGCTAGTTCCGCTGCCTCTGCTGGAAAATTTGGTCTTACTCCGGGTATTTGACCAGCAGGTATATAGCGAGCGGCTGCAACTTTGATTATGTCCCGAAAAATCCTTTCTGCTACCTGAACACCAGAAGCGTTCGGCAGTTCTCTAAAGCGACGGTTGGTGAAGTCTTTGATATCAGGCCAGTAGGCTTTCCCCTCTAAGGAAAGTGCGTTGCTGATGGATACGAATATCCGGAGATGGTGTGAGCCAAGAGAAACAGCGGGTTGCCAAGTTACGTTATTTATCAGACCGGCTGGCACAATGGTTAAATCTGGCAAACTGTGACACTCTCCTATAATTCGGGTGGAGGCGTCCTAGTTTACCGTGCAAAATGTCGAGCATTACCTAGGACGGAATTCCACACCTCATGATGTGCATTGAAATCCCCTAGTACTAGGCTGTTATTGCCTTCCAAAAGTGGGCTTATATTAGGCAAGTAACGCCGTTCACAGCTTTTAACCGTGGGGATATTCACAGTAAGCACTTCTACCTCGGCTGTTTCACACTTGACTGCTACCCCCATACATTGCATGTATGGGGCACTAGAGACTAGCTCAATCGGCGAGATAGGTTCGTATTGAACAGAATGGTGTAACAGGAACGCTAATCCCCCACCTCCAATTCTGGTGCGATCTTTCCTCAATGCGATGCAACCATTGCAACATTGTAAGCTACAATTTTTATTGAGCTTGGTTTCCTGTAATGCTGCAATCAAGATATTCCTCCGATTCATAAAATCCACTATCTCGTCAATTTTACCTCGGAGTCCGATATTTTGACTCCTACGATTTAAATACTAGAGTCATCTGGGTCGCCAGGCAGGCTCCGATAATATTCGTCCTGCAAAGGAAAAATCTAGTGTAAATATCGAACTTGACCCTCATCCTTCGCAGTAGAAAAACGAAATCTGCAAATTCACCGCAAATTCAACCGATTTTCCAAGTCCCCTGACTCTAGTTGTGATTGAAAACTAAGTAACCAGGGTCTGAACCGGTTCAGTTTAGTACATTTACATATTATTTTATACCCTACATCATACTATGATGAGGGTATATTAAGTTTGTCATTCCATTTATATCACCTTGAAATATACATTTTAGACCCCACAAAGTACATATATTCTTGATCAGCATAAAATTCTATGTCGATTGAGCGATGTCCGTTCGTCTACCCATCCGTCTGTGGAAATCACTCTAGCTTTTGAACGAATTGAAGTAGATTGATAAAATTTTGCTCAAATGTATATTATGTCTGCAGGACTTTTGGTATTCAAAATGAGCCATGTAGGTTTGGTATAGCCCCCATATAAGGGTACCTCCCGATATTCGGTATTTTGATGATTTAAGCCACATTATTCACCGGAATTCTTTCAAATTTGGTATATGAAGTTCGTAATAGATACTACAGCCTAAGACAGAAAATTGTCTGTGCAGGTCCACGTCTTCGTATAGCCCCCATATAACGGTACCTTCCGATATTAGGTATTTTGAAGATTTTAGCGACATTATTCACCAGAATTGTTCCGAATTTGGTATTTGAAGATCGTAATTGATACTACAGCCTAATGCAGAAAATTGGGGCACATCTTCGTATAGCCCCCATGCAACGGTACCTCCCTATATTCGGGTTTTTGATGATTTTAGCGACATTATTCAGTGATTTTTTTAGTTTCGCATTTGAATATTCTAATGGCTTATGACAAAATCTGCCTATGCAGGTCCATGTCGTCGTATAGACGCTAATATAGCAGCTACTTTTGGTATTTTTAAGATTTTAACAGAATTTTTGACGGATTTTCTTATATTTGAGAATGGCCAAATTCGTTCCAAATGGTGGAGGATATTCTTTTCTTTGGCTTTTTTACTTGTTTCTACAACAAAGTTATATAGATTCACTTTGCTTTCGTATTAAAACTGACAGTTACCACACTTTCTACATTAGAGGGGTTTTAAAATCCATCAAAGAAGATTGACGGTCCATTAAAAATAGATAAACTATAAAAATCAATTTTCTTAAGAAACATTTGAAAATCGTGAGAAATGTTTTCACGCTAGGATCAGGAATTATGGTTTCGTGGTAGCTTTATTAAATTTTAATGTGCCTAAGAGTATACCACCAGTCCCAGATTCTCACACCACTCACCCGCCCCCCCTCTCTGAGTATTTCCCAAAAATAAACAAACGATAAAAACGAACCAAAAATTATACACACAATAACAAAATCAAAACAATAACAACAACAACAATGACAACTTGGAAATATATCACCCGAATTAGAAAAGGACCAGAGAATGACAACATATTGACAATGGTGACCCATTTGTTTTATCGACCTCTCATGGCAAAGCGAGTTTGAACAAGCGGACATACATACATACGAACTCATATTTAGTTAGCCATTTCAATTTCTTTAATACATGTGTATGGTTCTCTGGAACAGTGACTCTCTCGCGCTCTCTTACACACAAACAGGGAGCAAGGATTTATGTCATGACATAAATCTATGGATATAGAGCAAAGAGAGCAATGTGTATTTTTGCTCTCTCTCTCTCTCTCAGAAATTTTCCTACATCTCTTTTTTTCAACTTGGCATTGTAGGTGGATATGCTATGCTATGTAGGTGTGTGTGTGTGCCTTGTATGAGTAGTTTTCTTTTTTGGCTGTTTGGAAAACTAGAGCAAGTGTGTGCGAGTGTGTGTGTGTGTGAAAGCAAGGAAAGTGTAGCGTAAAACCACTTGTGCTACTAACACATTGAACCACAGACACACAAAACACAAAACACAACTGGCAAGCAGAGCAGTGGCAAAACGAAAAAGGACAACAGCGCTTTCACTGTGTGTGCGTGTGGCACACATACACATATATATGGTGTACTATTTTTCCTTTATTTATATTTTTCTGGTGAAAATGCATTCGTTTTCATTTTACTCTCCTTCATTGAGACCAAAGAGCTTTTACGTTTCGGAGAAAGCTTTCTCTGCTAGTTTTTGGATAAACAAAAGGATACCAATAACAACAACAACTGGCTGGCTGGCGAACTGACTACTCATGCCAACAGCATTTGGAACAACATTGCAACGACACAGTTTCCATTGCTGCTCCCCCTCCTTCGGACTCCTCCTACACCACACAATCTCCTGACTATCCCTATCGGAAAATACACATACCATGGCATTAGGTGCCACTCTATACAAGTGTGTGTGTGGGGGGTATATCATATATTGTTTTTGTTTTGACAACATCAATACTGTTGGCAATCTGTTGGTGGTGTTGTTGTTGTTGTTGCTGCTGGCGTTGTTGCTCTTGTTTTGCCTCGGCATGTTACGGATTTTGGACAACATTTCACGTTCAGTTACTTGTACGACTTTGAAACATTCACAACATACGTTCGAAATTGTTACGGGTAGAATTTTTATTGAGAATTTTCAAAGCAAATAGAAAAAAAAAATAAATAAGAAAAGAATACAAAAAGCAAGAGGAACACAAAAAAAGAAACAAAAAAATAAAAAAATAATACCAATGACAACAACAACAATTCCAATACAAATCCAACAAAGAAGAGAGTGCATTTTTTGTGTCTAAGGAAATTGAAATTAAATTGTACGTGTGAGCAGGAAATTACACACACACTCAAATATCTATACATATATGTACACACACACACACACTCGTACGTGTTTAATAATAAATGGGCGCTATACAAAAACACAACGGAAGGAAAAAATTAAAGCATGAATTTGTGTAACGAAAAGAAAGAAAAAAATACTACAATTTAAGCTGGCGATTATACCACCAACCTACACTCGGAAACAGGCAACACACACACTCACGTGTGTTGGAACAAATCTTACATAAACATTCCACTCTATAAATAGAGTGAAATGTATTTAAAATCGAACTTTGTTTTTAATGTATTTTTAAAGGCAAACTAATTTAAAGTTATAAATATATATCCTCCATTAACAATAATAATCCAGCGTTTAATTTAATTGAACTTCGTCATACTTTCATTTGTGAAGAAAAATGTTAACATAATTTATTTCTAATTAAACACTTAAACAATGAACCAACAAAAATAGTTCAAAATGGACTGTGTTTAAAAAGAAGTGAGAGAAAAATAAGTTCAAATTAAAAAAGTGTGTGACGTTTTTATTTTTTCTTGGTATTTAAAGAAAAACTAAAAAATTGAAGGGAACCCAAAATTAAAAATAATGTCTCAAATTAAACAAATATTAATAGAAATCCGAGAATAGTTTATTTATTTTCAGTTTTTTGACATTCTTAAAAGGCTCTTATGAAGATACCTCTGCCTTCACAAGAAAGAGATTCTTTCAATAGTTCTTAAAAATCCTAATTTTGAAAATAACTACTTAAATGGGTTAAAAAAATGAGTTCCTAGCCCCCAGATGTTCGGTGATTTTTAATAACAGACACCTTTTCCCATGTACATACATATCTACATCTAACATAAATATCTACTTCAATCCATTAAAATCTTGATAAAAATCTTAAAAATATATGTTATGCTTCGGTACCTTTATGTTAGGGGCTTTATCAAAACGTGGAGCTGAATAAAAACTGTTTGTGAAGAGTTCCCCTATCTATGAGCTCTCAAGATACCAAATTGCATACATTCTATGGAAATGTAATGAAATCCATCAAAATATCTTAAAATGGGACATCGTTGTTAATATTACCAAAGAATCGGACGGTACTGTTACTTAAGGAGTTTCTCTGTTTTCTATCTCAATAGATTTGATGAAAGCACCATTAATTCTAGAATTTTTCTCAGATCAAATGATCACAATCAAATGCTTCACGAAATCAAAAACCGATATTTAGAAGAATTTCAAACGTAATGATAATGATAATAATAGGGTTTGACCGGGCCGAAATTTCAGTGCCCTCCACCATTAGGTAGCATTTTTTTTTTTAAGTAAAAGTATCTGTTTTCAAACGAATTCTATTTTAAACTACAAATAGACAAACAAACGGTCTGGAGGAACCGTTATATGGGGGTTATAGAAATACTTAGACCTATATATACAATGTTCTGCCACGGTAGCTAGAACTCGTTACGAGCTACTACAAGCACAACATTTTAGAAAAATCCGTACAAAAATGTGACAATGTTTTGCTGTTCACAAGAACCCTTTACAAACTGTAAATACAAAATTTGGAATAATTCCGTGGGAAAATTGCCTAAATAATAGATACTAGGGCTATGCCGGGCCGAACTTTGAATACCCTGCGTCATTTGGAACGAATTTGAAAATGTTTATATAGAAGACGTGGGCCGTGACATAAGCCGTTACAATATTCAAATACAAAAATTAAAAAAATAAAACGTGAATAATGCGGCTAAAATCATCAAATTACCGAATATAGAAAGTTATCGTTACATCGGGGCTAAACGAAGACCTGGACTTGCATAGACAATTTTCTGTCACAGGCTGTAGCAGCTGTTCGGAACTTCATATACGAAATTTAAAACAATTTCGGTGAATATTGTACCTAAAGTCTTCAAAATACCTAATATAGAGTGGTACTGATATATTGGGCCTATACGAAGCCCTGGACCAACATAGACTGTAGTTCCCATTATGAACTATAAATACGAAATTTGAAACAACTGCAGTGAATAATGTTCCAAATAATAAAGATGTTCAAATTATCGAATATGAGGGGATACCGTTGCATGTGGGCTATCGTGGACTCTGTGAATGACATTTCCATTTTAGGTGGTAAAGTGCTTAGTAAGAAGTTGGATTGGACTTAGGAAGAAGTATGGATTTTTTGACAATTCCATTAAAAAATTTTGCTAAAATCATCAAATACCGAATATAGGGAGGTACCGTTATATGGGGGATATACGATATCGTGGACCTATATAGACTTCTCCAGGGGGTAAAGTACTCTTTTTGTAGATTTTCAGACAATGTCAATTTCGGCTACAATCACCAAAATACCAAATATGGGGGGTACCGTTATATGGGGTCTATACGATATCATGGATCAATATAGCCCATCTTCAAACTTGACCTGCATGCAGACTAAAATCCGATCTGTACAAAATTTTAGTTTTCTATCTTTATTCGTTTTGACTCTAGCGTGATTACAACTAACGGACAGACGGACCGACGGACAGGGCCAAATCGTCTGATCAAGAATATATGCACTTTGTTATGTATATATTCTTGAGTTACAACGGAATGGCGAACTTAATATAGCCTCTATACTATGTATGGGGGGTTATAAAAATAGAAATTTCCATCGCAAATAACCTCAATAGAGGCAAACAATTACCAACAACCCCTCCCCCCCAATTTTTTCGAAATTTTAAGATTAATATTCCATAGAATCCTTCTTCTTCTTTGACAAGACTGCAAATAACATAACTAGGATTAATCGAGATCGTTTCAAGTCAAAATATTCTACAAAAATTATTTGGCATTCAAAATTCTACTAAAGGTCCTAGAAGACATAAAAGGTTTAAATCTTATCTGAATTTCAGAAATGCATGAATATTGAAAACATTTTTTAGGGTTAAAGCCGAACTGTGTGTGAGTTTGTGTAAAAAATCTCAAACAAAGCATCATTTTAGAGGGATAATGTCAAACAACAAACAAAAATATTCTTCATCAAATTTCGTCAAAAAAATACCTAAATCAATATTCCCAAAAAAAAAAAAAACGAAAATATTTCCCAATTTTTTTATTATTTTTCCTCTGGCCTTTTTTCGATTGGTCGCTACCAGTAGCAGAACTATTCTATCATCGCAATATTTTTTATTAAGATGGAATATATTAGTCCACTGCTTCTGGTACCTCCACATCAAAGGATCGAAATCTCAAAAACAAGTTCTGAATAGAAAAAAATAGAAAGGATAATCCGATGGTGCTAGGTCAGGTGCGAAAATGGACAATATCGGTCCACTCCATCAAGTACCTCCTCCACAAAGGGTAAACATTTGGAATATTTATAACTCTTATAAAATTTGAGATACGAGTCCGATTGTGTTTAAATTACTCATATGACAATATTTTTATTAACCCAAGGTCAGGTGTGAAGCTAGAATATATCGGTCCACTCTATCTGGTACCTCCCCCACAAAAGTGTCAATATTTCAATATCCATGAAGATCATAAAACGCGTAATTAACATCCGATTTCATTCAGACTTGGCACATCTCAATATTTCCATCAACACAAGATCTGTTATAAAGGTGGTAGAGATCGGATCATTCCTTCTGGTACCTGCCCCACATATGGTCGAAGTTTTGAATAACCAAAATGTTCATTAAGTTCGAAATAAGCATCCGGCTGTCTTCATATTTAACACATCCCATTATTTCTACTAACACAATATCTGCAGGGAAGATTGAATATATCCGTCCTCTACTTCTGGTACCTGCCCCACAAAGGGGTCAAAGTTTTGAATAACCAAAACGTTCATAAAATCCGAAATAAGCATTCGGTTCACTTTAAATTTCACACATCCCGTTATTTCTACTAACACTAGATCTGCTGCGAAGCTGGAATTAATTGATACGCTACTTCGTCCCGCACAAAGGGTCAAAATTTTGAATATCCATGAAGTTTATAAAACGCGAAATTACACACACATTTCTATATTTTTTTTTATCAACACAAGATCTGTCATACAGATGGCAGGGATCGGACCATTCCTTTGGTACCTCCCCCACAATGGGTCAACATTTTGAATAATTATATCTTTCATAAAATGCGAAAAAAGCATCCAACTCTCTCAAAATTACCATAGCTTACAAAAAAAGTCAGCGTTCCATTCAAATCGGGTATATATTTATACTTCCTCAACGAGAGAGTTGATGTGAATGAATTTTCTGTCCACTCCATCCGATACCTACTCCCCCCAAAAAAATTAAATTTTTGATTTTCAATTATTCGCAAAAATTGATATTAAATGTTCGATTTTCTTTGCATTTTGTCCCAATATTTTTGTTAGTATTAGATGAAGTGGATTACTTCGATCCTCTATATATGCACATTTCTAAAAATTATCATATATCTCATATCAACTGATATAGTCAAAATATGACACGTTGTAATGGAGGAGTTGGATAATATTGGCCAACTTCTTTCGGAACCTCTCCCATAAAAGGAACAACTTGATGAATAATAAATACAGATGGCAAAATATGTTTAAATAAACGGCTGAGGGTATACATCCATCGGGAAAACCCGATTGATACTTTTAAACTTGTTCCCTTACACATTCGTCCTTCAATGTCTCCTCATTATTTTGAACATTTCATTATCTTTAAGAACTACATAGACAGAAGTTTCTTCTCTGAAGATTTATTTCTTTGAATCGAACAATGTTTTGCTGATTATATAAATTTGTATCATTTCATTGGAAAAGTGCGGGGGTCAATGGAATGCAAATGCGTAATTTCCGTTTTTTTCCAAATTGTTTTCTGCCAAATTACTCGAATCCCAATTTACTTGATAAATAATTCACATTTTCATAAGAGTTTGCATTGGAGCGCAATATCTTTGGATTTCTTTTAGTAGCTACAATAAGCAATGAGATTTTATGATTATCAGCCAGACGAAATA